CCCGAGACTTGACCGGATCCCCCTGGAGAACACGGACTACGAACGGGGGATGGTTTCGGCCCGCGGCCGCCGTTCTCTCGCGGGTGCGCCGGCGTCTTGGTTCAGTGCCAAGTCCCGTCTACGGGGCCTTGGTACGAGGGGGAGGAGGAGGAGGAGGAGGAGGAGGAGGAGGAGGAGGAGGAGGAAGAGGAGGAGGAGGAGGAGGAGGAGGAGGAGGACGACGAGGAGGAGAAGGAGGAGGAGGAGCAGGAGGAGGAGGAGGTGGTGGCGGAGGAGGCGTCTTGGTTCAGTGCCAGGACGTCCCGTCTGCGGGGCCCTGATCCAGGTCCTCCGCGGGGGCGCGGAAAGATGGTCGCGCTTCGCGCGCCGAGGCCTGGTCTGGAGCGGCTGCCCTTCTCTCCACGGGGAGCGGCGCGAGGGCGCGAGGGCGCGAACATGGCCGCGCGTCGCGCATCGAGGGGCGCAATGCACAGTTTCCGCCCTTCTTCAAACGGATTGCGCTGGCATGGGGAGCAGGCCGCCCCTGTCATCCTCCACCGGCCATGCAGCTGCGCCCCCGCGCGAAGCCGCCGCCGCGTCGTGCGCGGGACGGGGGGGTGGATTGAGGAGGGCCCAGGGGAGTGGTCCTCGAAGCGCCGAACCAGCAGATTTGGTTACGGCCCTGTTCTCTTCGTGTGGGAGCCCCGAAGCGCAGTCATGCACGTGTGTGGGGGTCCTCAGTCAGTCACGTGTGGGGGGGCCTCAGTCATCGACGCTTCGCAAGAAGGGACGACACACACACAAGGACAACACAGACACGCAAGCCCAGACGAGTGCACACACGCACACGCATTTGCGCACTTCTTGGCGATCGCGGCCTCGCGCGCAGCGACGAGGCGGAGCAAGCCGAGCGAGCAGCACGGAACTGGCGCAAGCGGCCGGGTCCACGCACACACACAACACATAACACAGAACACACACCCACACACCCACACACCCACACACCCACACACCCACCCACCCACCCACCCACCCACCCACCCACCCATCCACCCACGCACGCACGCACGCACGCACGCACGCACGCGCACACACACACACACGCGCACACACACGCGCACACGCACACGCACACGCACACGCACACGCACACGCACACGCACACGCACACGCACACGCACACGCTCACGCACACGCGCACGCACACGCTCACGCGCACGCGCACGCGCACGCGCATGCGGCACACGCACACGCACACGGACACGCACGCGCAGGCACGCCCACACACGCACACGCACACGCGCACGCGCACGCGCGCACGCACACGCACATGCACACGCACACGCACACGCACACGCACACGCACACGCACACGCACACGCAGACGCACACGCACACGCACACGCACACGCACACGCACACGCACATGCACACGCACCCGCACCCGCACCCGCACCCGCACACGCACACGCACACGCGCACGCGCATGCGCACGCGCAAACGCACGCTCACGCGCACGCGCGCACGCGCACGCGCACGCGCACACGCACACGCAGACACTCTTTTTGATCTGCGGGGCGAGAGCGAACCAAAGCTAGGCGGGCTACGCACAGCTTTAATTAGGGAGACAGGGCACATGAAGGCGGGGCCTCAGGCGGCCGGAGCGCACACACGCACACACGCACACACGCACACACGCAGACACGCAGACACGCACGCACGCGCGCACGCGCGCACGCGCGCACGCACGCACGCGCGCACGCGCGCAC